CTTATTTTTCCATAATTATGCATTTTGTTGAATGCACTTGTTTAGATTTGCAAGTATTTTTGCTCTTTAGTCGTAACATTACTTTTCTTGATTAATTTCATACATAGATAAATCGACCGTGTTTATGTGTCACACCATATGCTTGTAATTCAACAAATATGGTGTGATGTTTCTTCACTACTCACATATTGGAAGTGCATAGACTAGTATATACTTTCATTGTTTTCAGTAAATATTTGTTTATCTGTACAGTAATTTAGGTGAACAGAGCTTTAATCATATTGTGGCGTGTGCTACTGATAATATTTATCAGTAGTATCTAAAGAGACTTGCATCGGCATAAAAACATCAAATAGCAGGCAGATAGATTTGATGACAGAGAAAGTAAATGATACAGCGTTGTAGAGATACATGGGAGACACGAAAGGAACACAATATGAAGGTTAGAAGTAGCACAACACGGAAGATCAGTGCAAATGGTGCGCTGAAAATAAGGTGTACATAGGTTGGCTATATAGAGATACCGAATTCCCAGTATATGTATTCCTTTACCAGGTCTTTCATCTTCTACCGTTTTAATATGATTAGTATCAAAGCTTTCTTAATGCTATGGAGAGAAGGAGGTTGGCGGTTGTGTTTGGATAAAAAACAATTCAAATCTTTCACACTTCTCTTCATGATCACAAATGTTAAGATCTCATCAGCTGTTAGGTTATTTATTTCAAGATTATCTAATGATTATACGATTTGTACAGAGACTGAAATGTTTTGCAGACGAATCGACGAAGTAGTTATTTTAAACTTAATGCAGTAGTTAAACATGCTGTTTTTCATAGAAGGTCTAGTGCGGTACCTAAATACATCTGAGATATTGTGCCTTTTGTCTCTCTGGAAATTTTTTCTTCAATCTCGTTAGCCTCAGACTATAATCTAAGGAACACTAGTTTCTTCTGGAAAATATTGTACTTCACCTTTCGCCTACTCTGAATTGCTGAAACTATTGTTATCTGAAGAACGAAGATCGAATTATGTGTGTTCAGGAAAAGACTGTTGCTAACTCACTATCACCTTGATAAGCCTTAATTTCTTTGCTTTGACTCAGTGAAATTTCATTTCATTTTTTATGACGTAACTTAGTATCTGAGTCTACCTATTTTCCTACTAAGTTTTCTTGCTACCATTATTAGCACTGACTATTTTCAGTTTGTTTTAATAGTCCAATACATGACTACGCAACCTTCCCCACTCGTCTAAATTACCTTTAAATTCCAGAAGATTCTTCTCTTTGCAGTGTATAATATCTCTGTTCTGATTGTTCCAAATTATTTTGTTTAATCTACACCTCATCTTTTGTGATATTTTGTTCCGCTCTCATAAAATGAACTGGTTATTCAGTCAAGAAATATACAGAAATTATTTCATATCCATTATTTATGCCAACGAAATGAAATGAATTCATCTTACCTCAGAAATATTGTTCTTATTTGTTTATTCAAAGGTAAATAATTTATGTAAAGCAGTGCACCGGTGGCACAGAGTTAGAATGCTAGTCAACCACGCAGGTGGTTTGGGGTTCATTACTCAGCCGACGCACTGCTTTACCTCGATACACCATTAATAAGACCGGTAAAGAGGGGAGGTTGGGCATGAGGCTAGCAACAGTGTGTCTGAAACATCCATTGAACCACTCCTACTGTTGTGACGAGTGATGACTGAGGGTGGAACTAAATTTTGAGTGGCAGCAGGATTCGAGATAACTGCATCCTATCGGCTACTACAGCGCCGATCCTATTCTGGCACTTTACGCTCAATTCTTTTATTAAAATATTTTCAAATAATATGATTTTAAAAGTTGTCAATATTACTGAGTGGAATCAGTCACAGTGTTGAGATTAATAATTCTTTGATATACATCTGTTCCTGTGCTTTCAAGTTTGAAGATCAGTGAGGTTGTTTTCGCGGAGTTAACTTAATAACCTCACTCCCAACATTCCACCTTTTCCAGGTTTAGGATTGGATAGTGAGTTAAGCGAGGAAGTCTTTTCTTTCACTAAACTTAGCATCATCCTCTCAATAACAGGCGGTGTGGCATAAGGATGTCAAAATCGGCCAGCGTCCGAAAAACAAGACAGTGTGGAGATCTACAGTGCTTATTACAAGGAACAACATTCAAATTCTCTACACTAATATGAAGCTAGTGCTTCTATATCGTTCAGACACTTGGCGCATCACCAAAGCCATTTTCAACAGCCGACTGCAATCCTTCGTCAATAGCTGCCTTTGCACCATATCGAAGACTGTTTAGTAGGAGAGTATAAGCACCAAGGGGCTCTGGCAGTGAGCCACCTAATAATCTGTGGCTTAACAAAAATGCTGAAAGAAATAGAGATGGGTTGGAAATACGCTGAAGAGACTTTCAAGTGACAACATGCACCAAGCCTTTGAATGGAAACCGAATGGGAAGCCGCAGGTTGAGCATCTGAGAGCCATATGGAAGAGATGTTAAGGAGAAATAATTACAAACTAGGTCGAAACAACTGTTAAATGTTGATTAGTTTTCGATGGCTGTTCATGACGAAATCTACATTGAAATAAATTCAAATATTAACGTCATTTGGTTAATAGTCGTTAGTAGTGAAATCCAATAGGCATTTTTGTTCTTTTCATTGCTTGTCAGCTAGTTGCACATTCATTTGCATCAAGAAAAGGTGTTCTCACTGAGCCTCGAACTCATTATCTATAGTTTCAAACACCAAAGCGTTATCAACTAGGCCACTGGGGCATGAAATTATAACATAACATTAACCTTAACACATTGTTGACAACATCTGTACTAGGAGCCGACATGACAACAGAGACTAAATATTTAAGTCTAACAGAAGCCAGTGAAGGAGAAAAGTGAAAATAACAACTTCGACAAATGTTAGGTTAGCTGGAATAATGACCTAATTTATTCTCGATGAGCAGAAAACATATCGATATAACTATTCCATGTGGATAGAGTGGATCTGGACTTTGCAAATGATATATGTCTGATTTCCCACAAACCGGAAGATATGCAAGTAAAAAGCAGCAAGTTGGCAGAAGAAGCATCAAAGATAGGCCTTCAGGTGAACATAGAGAAGACAGAAGTGATGAAGATACCTGGCCAACAGCAACAGCAACAACAACAGACAGTCATCAGCATAAATGGTAGGAGTCTGAAAGAAGCAAACTCCTTTACCTATCGACCTGGGAAATATCTTTTCAGCTACAGGCGGAACTGGCGAGGATATCAAAGCAAGGATCGGGAAAGCAAAAAAAGCTTTCATTACTCTCAAGTCTATATGGAAGTCAACAGCACTCAGCATCAAAAATAAGATCCGGATTTTCAACTCCAATGTGAAGTCAGTGCTGCTATACGGATCAGAGACTTAGAGCGGTACGAAGGGCACTTCAAACAAACTACAGACCTTCATTAACAGTTGTCTTCGCTCAATACTCAAGATCAGATGGCCGGCCAGAAAAGATCAGCAACAGGGATCCCCGCAACAAATATGCAGGAAGAAATGGAGATAGATTGGCTATACTCTGAAGAAACCATCAAGTGACATCACACGACAGGCTGTCTAGTGGAACCCGAACGGGAAGCGACGAGTTGGTCGTCCGAGGGTGACATGGAGGAGTTCATGTGAAGAGGAGATGAAAGCATGTGGGCAGACGTGGATCCAGGTGAAAACTCTAGCAGAGAACCGAACGTCATGGAGACGTGCAGCTAAAGCCCTATGTTCCCCTAGGTACTAAAGGAAACAACAATAGTAATAATGGATAGAGTAATAAGACCTTCATAGAAGTAGTGAAATTCATGTGTGAAAAAGTGGAAAATATTTCAAAGAACAGAAGTAAATATAAGTAGAGGTAATCACAATAACTGTTGGACAAAAAATAAAGGGGTGAACAATTGTGACAGGCACTTCAAAAAAGCTGTCAGTTAGTATGAAAGCACATAGAGAAAAAATAATAATTTCAATTGTTTGTCCAAAACATTTTAAGTAGTAAGGCAAAACATTCACAAGTTATCATGGTGGTAATCATCAGGTAAATGTCCGCTTTCAAAGACGTAATCCAAGTTTAAACCTCAAAATTCTTCGGCAATTTTCCTTTTTACCAATGAACAGGATTCTGATTTGCAAGGCTGCTGTCTCGTGTAAAGTAGGAGGCAAGATATGCAATGGAAAAATAAGACATATCTTTCAGAGCAATTATTCAACGGCCCCCGGAGACAATCATTTTACCGTTCTTCTTATGCACTTATTTTCGCGCTCAAGTAAGTTGGGAATCTCATATGAATTTGGTAACATTTGGAAATCATCCAAGTTTTCACTGTATATGATTATACATGCCTCTTAATATAACAATATAAAAATGCCCTCTTTTCTGCGATGAATGCTCTCCTCTCTTTCCTCCAAATTTACACACCTTTTATATACATTTACTTGGATATCTATGGCTTTATAACCAGTCATCAACTGTCCTCATTTCTAGTTAGATCATTAAATGGCATCCGATAGAGAAGCACTAAAAATCAGAGAGTGTGTGGCAGTTGCTTCGTCTTAATCTAGGACACTTCGGAAGAACGCACCCATGATTGAAACTGGAGTGTAACTTGAAGTCAGACAAATCATAGAAAACTAATATTTGAAAATTAGCCTGATGCTCATTAAAGACTGACTACAGAATGAATTCACCTTGAGCTCTAACGGAAATTTCTGACTATTTGGATTTACTAAGTTACCGATGATACAGGTTGGCAGCGAAGTTATGTGTAGTGGATAGATGGAAGCTAGGATTTACCAGTTATTGAACTCCAACGCAGTGGCTAAATGGTCATTATGCTAGCACAAGGACCTGAAAATCCTGAGCTGCATCTCTAGTGGGTGGAGGGTGATGGGCGCGCATGGTCGGTGCGAAACGAAACTGATTTTCAGTGATTCTCTAGTGAAAAGTAAACAAGAGTTTTTTATTATAGAAAATGACATCCAAGAAAACTTTGAAAGCAAAGAGAAATTAAATAATCAGTTGCGACTAAATCAGACACATAGTATCGATAAATTTTTGGTCAAAATAAAATTATTTTTCAACTAGGCCATGTTTTATAATTCAGTTCAATGATATCTTCGCAATACTCAGGATAAAATACTGAACAGAAATCAATGATTACTATATTTACCCCATTTATATTTGCCAGGTGATCTGGTGAATTGATCCATCTTTTAACATATGGTGTAACGCACTTAGCAGTTTTTCGTACAGAGCCAAATGGATGCAGTAATATAAAGAATGAATTGGCTGTTAAGACTGATTGGTAAACATGGAATTTCAATGGATCTTTATGATAAGATGGTCTGAAACAGAGAAAAAACAAAATTCAGTGTATGCGTTATAGTAACCTATTTTCTAGTAAATAAATAAATAAGCAATGAGTATTTCGACAGTTTCGCGATTACTCGAGTAAATGCATTTTTTTTACAATACCTAGCACAGTTATGGGAATTTGTAGGGATATGACAGATTTCATGAACTAATATCAGTACTGCTGGTCGAACCTATAACCCTCAAATTACGAGGATAGCTGGATAGATATTCAGCCACCAGGTTGGAATGCAGTGATCCATGAATTCTAACTTCTAGCTTTTCGCGATGCACATTACTGCCACCAGCCAGTGTCACTGGTGAGTATCCGTCTTCACACCTAAGTCTTTTTACCACGCTGGTCATAAATCCGTGCCTAATAACCTGAACGTCTTGTGTTCGACCTCCGATGAATCCATGGGTGCTTGCTGATGAGTACTCCCAAGTCAGGACGAAACAGCTGTCCAATGCTTCTTAGTTTTCATTAGTTCCCTAACCGATATCAGTTGGTGATCTAATTGATTGAAAAGTAACTTGGATAGCTGTCCAATAAACAACTTTTATTATGTGGATTACTGATGAGATAAGCTTACTACCTGCAGAAAAAATAAAATGGGAAATATATTAGTTTCAGACGTTGGTCGTATGGTCAGGAGATTTTACCGCCTTTTTAAACTGCAGATTGTATAACATATAATATATTAAAACAGTGTTATTCGTTGCCACCGAGGTAACTGGACAAATTAGATGAGCTAACTTAAAGACAATTGAACACTTGAGAGTATATTTTCCCCCAAAACCCGTATCATTCTCATATGGACTATTAAATCATCTGAATTGATCGACTGTTCATTTTCAGATATAAGGAGTTTCGATTTCAGTGCCTGAAGAAACATCTAGTCGAGCTGAAAAGAAATTCATTATATTGTATTAATCTGTATTTCTAAATTATGTAAAGTTTATCAAATCAGTAACAAAATTATCCATGCTAAGTTAAAACTTGTGCTCACATGAATATTAAAGATCGAAATTTCGATGGATGCATTACAGTCAATTTAACTTTCAGTAAAATTAATTCAATATTTATTCAATTTTGTGATTTTTCTTTGATATATCCGATGGAAATGACCAGCTGCATTTGGGTACATGTGCTGCATTAAAGGATGCCTCAATATTACCAGGATTAAAAACTCAAAGTTACTTGTCGTTTGCTGGCTAGCAGAAGAATCTAGACGTCACGTCTCGTCCTATTTAAGACTCGTCAGGTGTAAGTTCCTGCTTTACAGTGTGTGATGGTTTTCCCGCTGAGGCTTGAACCAACTACCTAGTAGCCTAGTGGATAACGCTGTGGAGTTTTAGCAGGTTCATCCATATGACGATTCCTAAATGGAGCGAAACGCGTCTCCTGGATTCGACTCCTAACCTACTTAGACAAGCAACTTCGAGTTCTTAATCCTGAATCCGAATGTCTTAGTACACTGAGAAAGAATTTGGAATTTTAAAGGTATATACGTCTTGTCAACTCAAATCCATCTCACATTTTGTATATTACAAATTGAGGGTCTTCACAAATACTGGTTTATTCTAACAAGGTTTGAACTCCATTAGATTTGAAAGCTATTTTAGGGGAATAAGCAACTTACATTTTATTAGTCACTTAATGAATGACCTAAAATTGTCGAACATCATTATATTCGTTATATCATAATGAGGTTCAACATTTTTATGTCATCTTTACATTTTGCCCCAACAACGCTGGTTATTATTTACGGCTTCGGAATCCTTAGCTCAGTCATAACTAGCCAGTTGACTAGATATACTTTTCTCTGAAAATAACGTTGATCTTTCATCTACCTAGCATATCACTCTTGAGAGAACATTTCCGCATGATTTAGCCCTGTGATTTTCGCATTTTGCTATCAGTAGTTATAGGTTAGGTAAACAACTGATTAAGTTGGCACTGGCACACACGAGTTTCGGTAAGACTGGTCAAGTGTTAGGAAACAATACACACACACACAAAAAAACAACAACCTACTTGCTTCACTAATACCGTTAAAAAGTCAAACTGATAATCTCATCTGTATGATCTTATACTTACGTAAGATTTCATCATCAAATATTAAAGATAACAAGCATAAACAGGGGTGCCTAAGATGTATAGTTCAAGTGAATGGCTTTGGTATTATTACTTTCTACGGATAAAATCAAAGACATTCATTCATCATAAAGAAATTACAGTATCGTTTGATTTTACAGCATTGCATACTTCAAGCCTATAAAAGCTGGTGAAAGAACCTATACAATAACTACTAAACAATAGTTAATATCTCTCCCAAACCTCAATGTGGATGTCGTGTGTGCTACTGACAAGATTCTGTAAGCGGTTTATTGTGTGTGATGTCTTTTCTGTTAGAATCTTGAGTGGCGGAGTAACAGACTAAGCTACGAACAGTAGGAATGAAAGATTCTTACGGGATAGTATAGAAATCATAAAATAAAGACAAAAATGCGGAATACGAATAAAATTTGCAAATTGAAGTTTCAGTGTAAGTTTTTTTATATTCGGTCATCAGTGTACACCATTTTGCTGAAATAAATAGCTACCAAGTACTACTAAGATCTGCAGTTGCAATACTGCATTTTTAGTTCAGTGGTCAAATGTCTGAACAGAGAAAAAGGTTACCTAAGACATCACCTATTTTATAAGTGGTCACTGAAGCTGTAATGAAAGGCCAGGGACCATAATTTTAGGTTATTGTAATGCAACCATTCGTCACAATTAGAAGAAAAATGGTTTTTGAACACTCACATTATAGTGAACAGCTTTGTTTACAGTAACACATTTACTTGTGATGAGGAGATGAACAACGAAATACGTTTTTTGGATGTCTTGGTCATTGCAACAAGTATAAAAACGTTGGAGAAACAAGTATAAAGTAAGTCAATCTATATAAAGCTAATAAAAATTACAAAAACTGCAACACCCTAACAGCATACAGAAGGGAATCTATTAATGTGTATTACTGAAGTAATCAAAGCACACTGCATATCACTCGTATCTTACGCAGAAAATAAGAGAAACGTCTTCTGATAGTCTTTCGAGAAACTGGAAATTCATGCAAGTTAGTCAAAAGGTGCTTTTCCTCAAATCAACCTACAAACACAAAATCGCATTCTGGAACCATGAAGTAAACCATCCTACTGTAAATGGAGAACATTTCCGGAATTAGTGATAGATACTGCAATCCCTGAGAACAGACGTTAGTCACAGACTAAAAAAGTCATTTAAATTCATCCTATTTCGAGCAAAATGAAACTAAGCCGATATCAGTTATAAAATAATTTTAACCACTGTGAAGAATGTTGGAAAAAATGTACAAATCTCAAACACAGGGAACACTAAGAGTGCTAAAGAGTTGTTATAAGCCTTGTACTCAAATAAACCTAAGATTAACGGACAAACTAATGTAGATCAAATTTATCTGGCAATCAGGAATAAGTCACGTGAACAAAAAGACGAATATCAGGTCAACTAAATGATCAATACCAATATAACCTAACACAGGGAAAGGATAAACTGAAAAAAATCAATCACGTTTATAGGTTATTAAGAGAGATGATTATAGAGTCAATGAAGCATTCCAAAACGTCATTTCTCCCTAAAATTAACTCTGATGATGTCTAGAAAAATGACGAAAGCTTAGTAGATAAACCATTCAGCTGGGAGATGGCGACAACACAAAACTGAATGGAGGTTTACGGTGTACTAGATGAATAAATGCTTCAAATTATACCAAACATCAATAAAATACAACCATAAATTTTCTATTCAAACTCAAACTCAACCTTCATTCAGAAAAAGGTTAACATCTTAAATATAAAATACTGTAGAACAAGACGAAGCAAGTGAATAAACGAAAAATATTAACTGAATTAATATGATTAAACAAACCCCAAATGATCATTAAGAAATGAAATCAGTGTCTCTGGATTTGATGTTTCTGCCCAAAATGATTTCATTTTATCAATTGACCAAAAGTTCAAATGCATTTTATCAAGTTTAGGATTATGACAACTAAAACATAATATTCGATAGTCCGTAGCCCATATATCATCCAATGAGGGAATTTCTTGATTTCTCGGTAACATTATAGGTCCAATAATCTGTTAAAAGTGAATTAGTTATTGAGATCAAAAAGGGGGAAAGAAATACAAAATAATTAGAGAGGGATTCACATCGTTCATCTATATATTCTCATTAATGTAATTGTGGAAATTCGGCACTTAGATAGATGGAATTACATTCTACCACAGTGTCAAAATTCTGCACCTACATTACTGATACTTATTGCTTTCCTTTTCAGAGACTAGTCAATCAACTCACACGGCTATCAAAATCAGAAGCAAGGTATGTCTCCTGATATTGATGAGACATAAGAATACCTCGAATAGGCTTTAGTTTCAGTTTAATTTAATTTAATAAAGTTTAATTTAAGCTTCCGTGGTGCCAGATACATTGAGCGTACAATTTGACATATTCGCCATCCAATTTCTGAGCATTTCCCTGCATGGTTAAGCAACGGATAAACGAGGTATATTTATCGCTTTGTTCTAACACACATTGTGGATGCTGAGCATAAAGCCGATGTTAATAGAACATTTAAAATTATGTACCATATTCCGAAGGTTAATCTTAAGTTTGTCTTACGAGTTAGTCTTTTCATATTAGCTGAATCCATAAGAATTCACCTGAAGAAGGCAAACTTATGTTTTCGGGAGAAATTCATACAGGCGCTTTCTTTAACTTGGTCATCATTATTGGATTTTGATAATTTGAAAGCCTCCCCTTCCCTCTAAGCCAATATTGCTTTAACTATCATTAACTGACTCGTGAATTTTCCTCATAATTTTATTCGATATTCAAACTAGTATTAAATATTTATGGATGCTATCACTGACAGGTGCTTTTGTAAGGTAATTCTTTCGGTTTTAACATCTGGATGTCAATGACAACCATTCTTTGAATATATATATATATAACTGTAGGGCCAGATGGGGAAGTTATTGGAGAGAATATCGCTTATGCTTATTCCCTTTTCCATTTTTTGATTTCTTCAGGAAGTCTGACCAACAAGTTTAAGAAGGAAAATTTACTTTGTAGCACCAGTAAACATCACCACTTGCTAAAAATGCAAAATCTCCTCTCCTACCAACTAAGTGAGTCTCTTAACTTAGTCGGTAGGACGCATAAATATCTGCTAGTTCGGATCTTATAGTAACTCGGATGTTTGTTCCAGTTACAATCATCTCATTATTTTAAGGTATACACTTTTTTGTTAATTGTTAGTTGAATTAACTTTTCTCTAGAGATATCTTTTTTGAAAACGTGTAAATATCCAAGTAAGGTTTCGTTAAGGTGATATGATATACTTCTACAGTTGGTCGAACATGACTTAGTTTCATTAAAGTTTCACAATAAATTATAGTCACATTTAGGACGTAATTTTCCCTGAAATTATCATTGCTATAGATATGGTGAACTCAACTTCATGACAGACTGATCTCTAAATGTAGTGCACCGCAGTAGGAGACTTTAGTAAATTTTTATAACTTGTTTAATGGTAACTAATTGTGGAATGCAGGAAGCTATTTTGTATTATTTTGGAATAATCAGTTGGATCTGTGTGCATCCCCAGTAGTTAGTGGTGTTCCAAGTGAAACCTGAGTCTTCACCTGGCTCCAGGTGAAGCCCTATGTTCCTCTAGGAATTAAAGGAAGCAATAATAATAAGTGAGACTTGAAACCCGCACTCATTGTCTTGAATGCCAAACCGCTATCCCACGCGAGAACACAACTGCCCACTAGGGATGAAAGTACATCCAACTGACAACCTTACATACGACGAAATGAACACCCTGGGTTCTACCGCTAACCAAGTATAGTCATCTTTATCTTAATAAATTGTCCGAGTGTCCGTACTACGAACTGATATTTGAATAAAGACTGAGCACTTCAGTCCAATGTAATCGACTGATGAGGACAAAGAAAAGCAATACGAAATGATCCAATAAGTCTGTGGTCTTTTGAAGCTAAAATGCAAACACAATAACACTGCTTAGTCAGGAAACTGTAATAAGTGTTTGTTAACCAAACTACTTCAATATTTTTGTTGAGTATTTACAGTAAAATGAGTTATCGGGCTTTCGTTCGGTTAGTTTACTTTCATTGCATTTTTCATTTAGCCAGTAGCTTAATGGTGTATGAGATCGCTAGCCTTGCAACCAGAAGGTCCTGGGTTCGAACCCCAGTGGGTGCGTACCGCTGAAGAGTTCCAAACTAGGATGGAACAGCTGTCCAGTACTTCTAGTCTGAACCTGCTTTTAATACCAACATTTACTAACCATGATTGTCAAACGAATTAATGAAACATTTAGTGCGATTGTGACTTTAGCTGAAATCACTAACATCTCGAAGTGTTGTTCAACTACTCATACTCTTCAGTGAACCATTTTTGCATGTCTATCAAAATGAATATGAAACTGAGGTTTTTTGGATTGGTGGTGGAATGCCGGATGCACATTTCATCCTATTTAGGACTCATCAGCTAGTGGGTATACCTACATTCTCAGTGAGTGCTGGTGTTCCAACTGACACCCGGACCCTGCACCTATCATTTCAAATGCATGAGCATTATCCACTAGGCGACAACGGCCACAAGACCCATCTCTTGTACAATAGGAACCAGTTATTATCTGTTTTTAGGTTAATTAGCGTCTCCAGTTGATTGATAATGTTGGACCAAAATACTCAGTCTCCGTTGACATACCGGTCCCTGGTAGGAACGCTTCGACGATATCCAGGGATTAGCGTGAGGAGACTAAGGATTTTGGTCCAACATAATCAATCAACAGAAACTCAAATTAGTCTAAAAATAAATGACACAGTGAGGTTTATCAGTTTATTTCATGTTAAGATGCTTCACCTGAATTTTATTTCAGATGTTAGATTTTTCGAGATTTAACTGACTTTCAGTTTAACTGTACGTCACATTAAAATCAGTTAGTACAAAAGTAAAAACAAAAGAAGAATTGTCAGCCACATTTACAGCTGTTCTTCTTGATATGCAACTATTAAACTGCTTGGAGTCCCAACCCTGTAAGTTATTTTCATAAAGTCGTTAAATGGAACGCTTATAGGAGAAATAGACTTAGAACTGTAAATCTCGTATTTGATCACGAGATGAAATCAGTTAGATAACCATTGGAAAACCAGCGAGTACTGAACATCTGTTTCATCCTGGTTTGATACTACTCCGCAGTACGAAATTACCGGACTTCGAACCCAAGGTTGCAAGTATACGCACTAATAATGAAGTGGTTAATTCATTCACAAGCGATTCTTGGTAGCATGTACGCATCTGACGACAAAGCACCAAAATACAGAATAGAAAACCAAATATTTCAGATTTTACAATAATTTTCATAGCTTCAGCTGATAAAACTGGTTAGGAAAAGGTTAGAAAAACATTTCTTGCTTATGTGTGCAGCGAAACAACTCAGATTTTACTTGAAATCACTAAGAGTTAGGGAGTTTATCACTGTGAATCCAGATAAGACTCTATCAAGAGTCCATGATGATGAAAACGGGTTACCTAAAGACACTCGAAAATTTCACCAGAAATCAGTGCACCTATCACTGACATACTTTTAAACATTTAAGTATATATTCCAAAACTTACACTCAAAACTAACTTTTCAAATTTTTCTCTTTGTTCATCAGTTTGAAAACAATAAATATGATTACAATCTAAAAGGATCACTTCATTTGGATGTGCCTTTATAAACTCATTGATATGCTTTAGTTCATTAGCAAGTGGCTGTGCATACTGACCGTGAACTATGTAGAATTCTTCTGTCAGTTTGAGTGACTCTGACTTTGTGTTTTTTATCATATTACAAATACGTAGGTCAAAATAACGAATACCAAGTTTTAGTTGAGCAGTAATACTCAGTGACTGAGTTTTACACCATGGATAGGTTATACGACTTAAAAAGCATGCTGGTAAAAATTTCTTTAGAAAATACAACGGACTGTCTGGAGACACAGAACTCAAAGTGTTGAGTGAGTAAGTACCAGAATTATGCGTGCCTGTAATTAAAAATAAAACAAAAAACGTGAGTAGACTGAAGTAAATTGATCAGTGATTGTTAGACTTTCATTAACTGTTTGAACGTAAACGAGATAGAAACTGAACGTCTATTAAGCATCTTCTAATCGATGCGTCGCAAAACTTCAGTCATCAGTAGATAAGAACTAAACAAGCTTGCAATGATCACAGTAAACTGAAAAGCAGTAGAAAGGTACACCGAGAGAAACTTAAAGAGACTCATTACGTGTTAAGATTATTAGTAAGACAGCAACTTCCAGGTTAAAATAAGATGAATCTAAGTTTGAGTAAACATCAGCAAAATGTAATCATAGTTAGCACAGAAAAAAATGGAAAATTAAATGAAAGGAAGAAACTAAAGTAGCTCAATCCAATGAAGTACATTCAACTACTCAATTCACTCATGACAAAGAACTTCAAAGTATCATTGTCTTCTTAGATGTCTTACTCACAGGAAGACCAGACAGTAGTATACAAAGAAATTTGCATGAGAAAAACACGTGGACAGGACGATATTGATATTTACATAACTCTGTTTGTTAAGGACCCTCAGCTATAGGATCAGAGTTGTATGTTCAGAAGATGTAATCGAAGATGAACTTAAAATTGTGTATGACACCTTAAATGAAAGCTGCTAATGGGAAAAGTTCATCATGAAGCACGTGGCCGATAGAGTCGAGAAAAACTATTGTGTCTCCACACAGGAAGCGTCTAAATGTGCTACTGAAATTCAAAGGTGATGTATCAAATGAAATAATAACCAACAAGTTATGGAAATCGATTGAAAGAACATTTAATGGCAGTAAGCTGCAGCTCATATTTTCCATACAACTGACTGTACCTTCTGAAATTGAAAGACGAAGTACCTAGGCTATCCACCTCTTCTTGTGCCTATCAGTTTAAATGCTGCCATGGAGCCAGTAATACTGGCCGTTGGTCGCTCTAGAAACTTAGTTTTTCTTGCTCTAGGCCACATATCAGTGTGGCTAAATAAAGGTGTAGTTAAAACCATTCAAAGTCTGATATCAAACCATCTTATTCAAATAGAACATAGAGCACTGAAGAATATTTTTCTATCATCGATCGGCTTCCAAATGAATCGCCAAAAGCCTCTAGGTTCTGAATACTCCAGACAACAGAAGCCATTGAACAAGAAACAGATCCAACCATTATTGCTATCGTGGCCTACTGTAGAACCTGCTGAATCACTTACCAGTTTATCTAATATACAGTTTAGTGTTATGCTGATACGTATTATCAAATACAGATACTTCTGAACTTTAGTCTATTTACATAACTGATTCGATAATATGTAAAACATTAATAATGTTTACAACAGTAATTCTTTAGTAATTATGGATCTATGACTGTGGAACCTGATGAGGTTATCGAAAAGAATATTCTTTGTTCACTAATCAGTCTTCCAAAATATTTTAAGTCTCACGTGAAAGCATTCTCAGGTCAACCAGTCTGCATTTTTGAATAAACAGAACAAGCTTCTACTTTTTGTCTAAGACAGTCTCTTTCTAACTTGTGTAGAAGTAAAATATCCCGTTTATTAATTAGTTTGGAAGCATTGATCAAATTGCTGATATCATTTGAATATCTATAACGTGCTTTTGTCAGTATGCATGGTTTCAACAATCGCAGATAATCGTTATATATAGCTACATGATTACTGGATAGTTTGTCAGTCAGAATTGAAAGTGTACAAATACTCGTTGCCTAGATATCTTTATTAAATAACCAACTAATGAGATTCCACCACGACCATAGACGCTCACCACTTGGCCTATTGTTGCAGTATGATTAACTTCATGATAATTTTTTGCATGACTACTGTCACTTTATATTTGTAATTACATTACCTCTCCCTCTCTGGTTTGGAAATGAACGTTCTAACATTAACATTTGGGCCTTCTTGAAACTACCAATCCGGGTTAAGAAAAATTTACTGGTGAAATTATCAAGTGTTTATTAACGTTAGTCTTATTCGTCAGAAAATTCAGCGATCATAACAGATCGATAAATGAGTTGAACATAGGATAGATATGTAACTGCTTTCATTGGCATTCTTCTATACTTAGGCATAAACGACCTTTGGAATTAATATCAGTGCGAAAAGTTCATCATTGGACGTTAGACTCAATTTAGTTGACACTTTGTTTCCTTTAGAAATATAAATGAGTAAATAAATGATGGAGATCTCTGAAATACAGTATAATCGATAGAACTACACACTACTGCCTTAAAATCAAGAGGCTCAGTCATTCAGTCCGCTAATGAAGTTCAGATATGAAGCGAAAAATGTGTAGACATGACTAAACGAAAGTGAAAATAATAATGATTGTTCCACTTCACAACTATGAATTATCTGAAATTGGAATAATAACTCTATTAATGACACTATCAGCTTAATTCTGGAAATCATGTCTATGTGCTGTAGAGATCCCTAGTGTAATTTCTGCAGAATAATTATTCCCTATACAGAATCTTCAAGTAAAATATCCATCGAAAGTATATTGTGTAACGTAGCGTTGTTCTGTCTGAAACAATACTCAACATTCTAGGACGTTTTCTATTCTTAGATGGTTGGAGGTAATTGACGGGAAGCTTTGGATCTAGATTTCGTGTTTGTTGGCACTTGTCAGAAAGAAGTATCTACAATCTTGAAGGAACTCACGTGATGGTGAGTCACCCAGCATGGTGGCAACATTAAGAATTTGACTGATAGAATTGAACCTACACCAAACGAAGGACAAGACGTATGACACTAGATAGTGTCTAGTCATAGTGCATGTTTTTCTTGAAATTCATAGTGGTAGGTTGAAAGTCACTTAAGTCCATGTTGCAATCCAAAGGCATAATTGGAAAATTAAAACAAATAGAAGCGGATGAAAGATTTATCATGCTACATTGAAATTTAGGTGACCCATCAACGCCAGAAGGATAGCCAATAAAAAGAGGACCTTAAAGTCTCCTCAGTGACAGAAGCTGCACTCCCAAGTGCACCCACTCAGGGTTCGTGATGAGTTCCAACCCACCATGGAGCAATAGTATGAGAGCCCATCTGTAGTCATAACATTATTGAACACCCTGAAGCCGACAGCAGGTCAGATGGAAGATGCAGATCGTCCGATTTTCAGCTAAGAAAATGCATTGTGACGTAATCGAGTAATTAAAAAATAAACTTATTGCAACAAATTAATTAGATTAAAAGTTAACTTGAGGATTTCATCATGTGATGATATCGGTTAGAGGACCACCATAAAGCCTGGAAGTACTGGATGGCTGTTTCGTCCTAGTTTAGGACTGTTCACCAGTAGGCACCCAATAAGGCTTGAACCCAGGACCTTTCGGTTACAAGACCATTTGATCGGGTCCTAGTGGCCTAATGGACTACGGGCTCCCCTTGTAACCAGAAGTTCCTAGGTGGGTGGGTGCGTACTGTGAAGAATCCCAAAGTAGGGCGAAACAGATGTCTAGTACTTCTAGGTTTGCAATGGTCCTCTAACGGATGTCAGTTCATGATGAAATCTTGAAAGCAGTGAAATCCCTGCAAACCAAAACTTGAATAAAAAGTAATTCTTTGTATTAATCTGACATCAGTTTAAAGTGTGGAAGATAAATTTGCATTATTCCCATTACTTTACGAGGAAATGTTCACATAGCAAATTAATCACTTTTTTCCACAAATATAGGCTAATTTAAAATAAATTCGAACATTGAGGTGAGAAATCACTACATTTTCTTTTCAAAACCAATACGCCATCATCTTGATACCATTTAATTTCAACTAAGAAAGTATGGCATTTGGCCTAGTCGCATATTAACCACTCATTAGTACTGAATAGCTGGGAATCACTGGTGTCAAACAGTAGTGCTTGCTAGCTGCATCGAAGTTACATAGAATGAATATTTACTCAACGTTAGGGTAATCGAAATTTTTACAAAAAGTAATCTGTTGACAATCGTTACAAGAAAAGTCAATAGCGAAATCGTTTATTCATATCACTGCTTCCTTTATGTATAAGATGCTATAAAAGGCTTGTTATCACAATAATAAGAAAATATAACACAATTAAGTCCAGAACGCGTTGGTACTTCAGAGATAGGATGCTCACCAACCACACACCTGATCTAGGATTCAACTCACAGCCAATGCTGTCCTAAACCTCGGCAAGCCCATAGTAAGCCCCGAAAAAAGGGAGAAGATTGAGCATGAGCCTAGAAATCTCACTCATCCCCTTAAAAACACCAAAAACATTGCTACTAAGGCTTCAAAGCTTCAAGCTCGGAAGGCTAAACAATGAAAAAAATAAGTTTAGTTAAACCGGAAAAGTGTTCTTGTATACATCTTGAAAGAATAGTTTCACCAACCTGGAATAGCCAGTGTGTTAATTTTTTGACATGTTATTTGCGCTGGAAGTTCAGACATCCATTCGGTAACGTTTAAGTTATTATTTCTCACCTAAGACACAAAAGATTAAATGAATAAATTATACCATATTTTCAATATTAAACAAATCGATAAGGATGTAGCAAAAATAATGCTGAGATTACTTGAGATAGTCATCTGTTGATAAGCAGTTAGTTACAGCTGCAAAAAGTAATAAATGTTTGATGGTGAAATGCAGATTTTAGTTACAGCAGGATCCACCTTCATTCATTATTCTTTGCAAAGACAACATCTTGGGAATTCAAAGATATCTCACATAATCGTTTCACCAACAGTTAACAACTTGCTCTCCATCTTTTAAATCAGGGTGATTAGGAGTAACAGAAGAAGGTCAATATGGGCAGCTAGTGTGACGATAAATGGACAGTTACATGTTATTTATTCACATGACAGCTGGACACTTCACATGGTGCTAGTTACAGAGGACTGATGATGTGGTTAGCAACTGGATCTCCTGACTCAGCATGAAGACTACTGGACTAGTATTTTGCAGGCAGCTGGCTCGAATCCTTCTGCTGCCCAGATTTTAATATCATCTTTAATTGTCACCCTTTAATAAAAATGTGTTAATGGTAAAGCCATTTGTGATCACCTTTTATTTCAAGACTTTTGTTGATGTTATGGGTGATGGATGATTCCAGGTGAAATGAAAACTCAGGTTACAGTAGGATTTTAGTTAGCAGTGCTCTATTAGTTAAGCCATAAGCCTCAGCTACTAACCAGACCATCATTTAACTCTGGTTTAGGGATTAAATCTGAATTCATTCTATTTTCTAAATATTGTTCTAACTGAACGATTCAGAATTTCAAGTGGTTTTTACATTCATTCTCATTTCTCATTCTTCACAGTCTGAGATTGTGTGAAAGTGATTCCGATAATAAAAATGAATATTATAAATAAATTAAATCAACATTTCATGTCTGGTACGAAACTCTGTTTATTGGTTACTGAAGAAATGGGTTTGAAGTGAAACATGCCAACATTGTACTAATGCCCAACTCGCCGTTTCTCAGTCTGTTTCCACTCGAGGGCCTGGAACGCAGTGTCACACAATGGTCTACTTAGCGTGTGTCCAGTACATCTCTATTTCCTTCAGCACATTCACTGGGCAACAGTTTCTTGATTGGTTTTATGCCAGAGTTACTTTTTAGCTATCCTTTCTGGACTTCTGATCTTCAATATGTGGTGGTATTTGCATAAATAAAGATTTCTCAAAAAGTAGAATCTCATTACCACCTAATGGAAATCCATTGTTTACTAGTTTTATTCCCATAAAGATTATCTGATCCATAGGCTGGTGTTCTTTTCGAAACTTTTAAGAATGTGGAATCAAAATGACCCTTAAGTTTCTGTGCTGATTCTGATATGAGATTAATGATATGCAGTGTTTGCCTAAGTCGAACTTGAATGAAACAGTGGCACTCCCCTAATCATTTAATCTCGCGTTATATTTACATACATTGAAAGGTAATGTGACGCCTAACCAACTAACTGATCAGTAGAGAGTAAGCGATACTAACTGAATTCTATTGTAACAAAATTAAAACCGTTATAGATAAAGTATTTAACAATGTACTCTTTTTTCCCTTCAGGAAAACATCCGGAAGTCCATAATGTAGAGCAAGAAACACAACTTCTATCAAGACTTGATATCAATGATGACAAAAAGACTGTTTGTTTTTGAAGACTTAGTCCACGTAGTTTGATTTCTTGCATTATGCAAAATACACGTCTTCTGGTTTCCTTCCTTGTGTGACTGTTGCTCGTTGTGCTATACTATTAGTTACATTCGCAATGTGATCACTAAGCTAGGTCAGTCGCTATCACTTTGGTTGCCTACGGGTGATCGTTCTAAATATCCATTACAGCCATACAGGAAGCCATTTGTGGACTGGACAAGATGAATGGAAAGATCTCCAGCTGCAGCAATCGGTGATACAGCTTAGAACCTCCAAGGGATTATTCGTACTTTCGGAATCGCAGATACGCCTTTTTTAAGAGGGCCAGTAGGGAGAAAATATGGAAACAGGGCTTTCTGCCGATCATCTCCAGTCACATAACATGGTCAACTTGGTGTTCTGATACGAAAGTTTGATAAAGCTGAAGGAATCGGACAGATTCCTCCATTGAATCGTGCTTGTTTGATTCCCCTTTATAAAAACTAGTAAAGAGTTTCTTATCATAAAAGTTAGTAACAGATATTGAAGCAGACAACATTATTGTTTTCATTTAGATTATCTGCAAGCTGTTCTTTGAAATACGCAACAAATTAGATATATTGGTCCGCCACTCAATAGAAATAGAGATGTAATTTCTGTAGATAATAACAGTAGTTATATTCATAATGATAAATGGCGATATAAATCTTTTACGCACCTGATCTAACGAGAAATTCATAGTACTACTTCTGTTGTCATAACACGCTAGGAACTAATGCAACTAGTAGGGATTCTTTATCAGTTCCCAAGGTCAGGCAAAATACCTGTTCTCTATTCCTTGGTTTTTTGACCAGTGACATTTCGTGAGGAGGAATGCATTATAAATAAACATGGTTGTATTTCATGATGGGATAATTGTTTAGGTGTATATTACACATTCGATGATCATTAATCTTATCGAAGGCTACTCTGTATGATGATAATAGTAACTATGTACAATTTCAATGGTTAATGCATGAATGGCATGCTTCATACTTTTATCTATATAAGTTATAACACACCAAGATTCATTTAAAATGTTAAGTTCATAAGAATTAGACTGACTACAAGGTAAATTTCATCACAGTTTGACATTATTTAGAGAAAGTCTTGGTTGAATCATAATAAAAAGTTACCTGGTGGACTGAATGTCCTAGATAAGTCAATAGCGGTTGAGTCATGCATGCATACTTCTGAAGAGTTTCAAAATAAGTTTAGACAACCTATCAGCACTCCCTGGTTTTCAATGGCTGCCTAAATGAAGTCATTTCGTGAACAAAACTTGAAGGCCATGAAGTTGGAGATGGTCATTTAGTATTGGTTTAAGAGCATTTAGAGGCAGTTACCTAAATCTCCATAAGGACTTGACCCCGTATCTGTTAAGATCCAAAGTAGGCAATTCGCTATTAATTCAGTTGGCTGAAATCCCATGGAATATGACCACTATCTTGTAGTAGTCCTCTGTATGACATTTATGTTTCAATTCTGTCCTAACCAACTTGTTCAATCTCATTGTCTTATAGAAACTGTAGGAAATCAACGCAAGGGGAGCAAACACACCAGTGACCTTGTAACAATAGTTGCGCTTAAAAGTAAATCTGTTCCTCTAATCATAATCTCTCTTTGACCTAACCCTAACTATGACCTATCCCTAACCAATCCTTGTATCGCCATAATTAGTTTATTATAATTTTGAGCTGTCCTTGGCTTCAATCTAATCTTATTCTTTCCATAACTTAACCTTAAACTACCCAGATATTCTGCTGAATATAATTACACATTACTCAGCAGTTATTTCATGAATATAGTGTTATTTACCTGGTTTTAATTTTCTTGCTCTGACTGAGCGTTCCTAGATCGACAGTACCTTCATACCTTCTGGGTGTCAATTTAAGAAGCTAATTTGTAAATGTACATTGGTGGTTCAGGGGCAGAGTACTAGACAGCTACGCATGTAGTTGTGGTTTGATTTCCCAATTACGTGAGTCTTTGCCTCAACTGACAGATAGAAAACTTGGAGAAGAGGTAAATAGATGTATGAGGCTAGCGATCCCACCCACTACGAAGTCTGAAGCTTGAGGCTCTGTATTACACCCAAAAGGTAAACGAATGGAAAAAAAATCATGAATACACAGTTAGGTTTGCATTATCATAAACATATCAAGCATACACAGTTAACTTACATAACTCCAACTGTTCTTTTCTGTCATTATCTACAGCTGACACCAATACAGACTTAGATATTTTTCCACAAAAATAGTGATTATATATAAATAGCCGAGATGAAACAGAATTTTTCAGTTTTATAAGTGTAAAGGTCGATTGCATATCGAATTCACGAGTGCCTTAAATACGTTTTTGTGTGTAATATTATCATAATTAATGATAAACATTTCAGTTGTTTGCACCTAAAACTTACGCACATACGTTATGTGATAGTTGAATTACAGTATCATCGATAATGTAATATACGTGTACGCTACTACTACTACTACTACTACTACGGTGGTAGTGTGACACAGACAATGTGTAACAACGGAATACTGTTCTCACAACAAGAATAATTGTATTTGTTGGTGTTAACGTCTGAATACTATTCCTAAAGTTCAGTACTGCATTAGCAACAGAATACCATATATATATATATATATATATATATATGAACATTCTATTTCATTTAGTTTAATGTAAACAAAAGTAACATGCTCAGTGATTAGTTAAAGAGTATAAACTGTATATATATAAACAGAGGCTTGATAAATTGAAAACACACCTTTACTTCCATGTCTTGCCTTCTGCTGTTTCACAACTACAATTGTTGTTGTTATTATTATCATTACTGGCGATAGTAATATTACCTATATTGGGACAGTAAACTTTAAATGTAACCTTAGTAATCAATGTCCAGAGTAATTTCGCTTTGTTTTGAACCTCTTTCTACGAAGGAAATATAAAAAATAGCAACATTATTTTCATCAAAGCTAATTTCAAAAGGTTTCTAAATTAAATGAAATTGTAGATGTCACTTACAACTTCATCTAATATCTTTTAATATTTGCTTATAAATATTACTGAATATTGATCATTTATTTGTAGTTATGATAAATATTGTGCATCGGGGGGTTAATTGACAGAATGGTCACCAGTTACCTGTGAGTTCCAAGTTTGATTCCAAGCCTACAGAATCTCTATTCCCGTCTAGTTTACTGGCCTGTAGTAAACCCGGAAGAGATGGAAGGCTGAGCATGAAGCTAGCAGCCCTAACTTGTAAAGCATCATAAATGCAACTGAAACTTCAAAGCTTGGAGACCAGGTACCCAATGAATGAAAGAAATTAACTCATGTTAAATGTTGATTTATCAATGAATAACACTGTCCTCTTTGTATTCAAAAATTCTGTCATCAGAGGTTAGTTACGTACTTTTCAAGAAGGAACCTATTACTAGTCCCAAGGCTAACAAACTTATACCTAAAGATCAAACTTTTGTTTGTTTAGCCCCGAAAGTGAATTGCATGAATTTAGTTAATTGTAATATTACTCCTCTAGATGATGAGACCATCGAATCTGCTTAGGAAGCTTTCGTAAACCATCTACGGCCCGAAGAAACAGTTCAGTTTATTTCCTGAATAAAACATAAACACTGCTCATAAGTTCTGAAGTATGTGTCTATAGTTTTATGTTACTGAAAAACATTCTGCTACAGTAGGCAACAGGCATTTTTGATCATAATATCATAATATCATAATATCTATACTCAAGATGAATTTATTTCGTGAGTATTGCGTCGCTGGAAATTATGATGTTATGTAACAGTTATTTCAGCATATTCTTTCTGTATCATCAAATCTATGTATTTTATTCAGAAGGAATAATAATGATAGTGTCTTTGAGTTAGTTATCCATTTAGTTCTAAGAAATGAATCACTTGAGGTTATTTAGGAACTGACAAGAAACGTTTTTGAAATCTACACACCATTTGTTCACGAACAAATACTGATGAAGGAGGTAATCTTATTTTGGTTAGTGAAGCGTTCACAATCACAAAAAACATGCCTACCTAGATATATTTAACATCACTGTAGCAGTAACCATTCCTAATTTAAAAATTTCACTATTATCTGTTCTTAGTTTTGAGTTTTGTAGTATCTAAGATCACACACGTTATTTTGGTTTGTGGTGACTAGTCATAGAATCCAGGAAACAATTTTCGTCCATTTTGTGACTACTCATCTGTACCTACCTCCATTCCGAGTTAGTGATGTTCCCACTGAGATTCGAACTCATCTTCTATCGTTTCAAATGCTGACGAATTTTCTGCTAGGCCACAAGGACCATGAATGCCACCCCTTGCTCACTTCATCCGTATTAGAAGCCAACAACTCAACAGAGACCAAGTATTTCCGTTCACCATAATCAATGAATGGGAAACGCTAATTAGCCTGAAGTGGAATCACTCATATTTACATTTCGCTCACAACTTACAGTATAAGTGATTACTTTTCGAGGAAAACAAAAATTGGAGGGGCGTGGTTACATTGGGCGAGTCCATTGTCAAATTTTCGAACACGTCCCTCTATAGTAGTGCTTATAGCCTTATACTACCTCACCTTATTGATACAGGACATCGAGTCAACACTTACAAAGCTTTTATAGATATTCAATGCATTTAATCTAACTTTTCTCGGGCTTCACCTGTTCGAAGGTTATATACAGCAGCAGTAATGGGAATTCATCCGAATTCGCAGTTTAAAATTTATACATCTCCCTTCTTTTGCTAAGACCGTCTATATAATATGTACAAGTTCCTAAAAATTATATTTTCGCTTATCTTTGGAATTTGTATTATTGTTATTATTATTAATATGTTGTCTAACTCAGTTAACACCCTCGTATCTAAGTTCTATTTCATGATTATTTATAAGTTCATTCAACCATTCCTTTTAATTATCATAATATCACACACTACATATGATGTAATAACCCACTTATAACTTCAACAAAACAACTGTTCTTGATTTCCACAAGTGTTTCCACTTTCATGCTTCAAAACTGATATATCGTGGGGATTAACGCATTATCCTATGATTGATATAATTTTGATGTATTATTTTAGAGACGCTATATATATATATATATATCTTCACTCCAGTTCATGTTTTCTACAAATGTCTAGATGGGAAATTTCTGAAGTGCTTATTTTTCTTTCCAGTCTGGTGCCAATCACAACTGATTTCATATTGTTACACAATCCTACTTTGTCTGTCTAAGCTTACGGTGGTTACTTGTTGACTAATCACTTTGATTAATGACATTTATGATTATTCTTAGAATGAAAAATCTATTACAGATATTGACATTTTGGAGCTTCGTTTCTTATAGTGTTTAATCAAAGAATCGTACCGGTCTACTGAATATAAAATATTTATAAAAAATTCATTCAAATCAAAACTGCATACCATTGTAAAGAAATTTAGTGAAAAACAATGTTTATTTACTGAATTGTGAGTTCTTCGTCATACTTTTTAATATATGCCTTACTAGGAAATATTGGCAAAGAAGTACGAATGAAATTTCTTCATAAAGTCGAAACTATGGCAATCTACATGTTAAATCCTGTAGTCTGCATACATAATTTCTTTCAGGCGCTGAACCGACAATGTACCTTATTTGTCTGAAAATTTGATAAGTAGCTTGCTTGTTAATCTCAGTTCTTTCAGTTCTGTAATTTTCTCTCCTTTCCCACCGCCCTGTTTCTACTCCTCTTATGACGCCTATTTTAACTTGACCACCTTTCAACTTTAACTGAGCTGTACTCGCTCCTGTCACTTATGTTACGTCACGCAATCTGCGCATTCATTTTTATCTGTTTCTACACAATTATTGATTTTTCTACTACGTAAATGTTGTTGGGAAACTGTGATTTTAATGAGACATACTTGGAAACATTCATTCATCTCTAATGACGGTATTACATATATATATATATATATATATATATATATATATATATATATATATATATTGGACTATACAACTTGAGAAATTACAGAGTAGCAAGATTTAAGTCATTGAGTTAGAAAAAATTAAATACCACAGAGTAATTTTCAGTCTACACAAGAAGTCTCATTCTTGACTTTGCAACAGTAGTAAAGCGCACTTCAAAGACAGGAAGTATTTATATCTAGAACTTGTCTCCATTATCAACTATAAACTCAGGGTGTCTTATTGTGACGAAGAATTTGAAGGGAGTATGTAATGTTTAATTAGTCTAAAGTTAGACTTTTGATATGGCTACTCAGTAGATAATATCATCCGCAGATAATCAGTGTTTTTTTCATGCATTTCTTAAGCCTGTGAGTCAACATTAAGAACTCGAAGAAGACCATCTAACAAACACGGTGACATTTTCACGAATTACCTAAACTTCTACAACTTATTCAGAGCCCTCATTAACTCTAAAATTGCATGATCATATCGTCATCTACCTTAAGATTTCATATTTTTCTTATATACAACAAACCAGATTTATGAAAATTTAGAGGCGAACCAAATCCGTGTAGATATTGCCATCAAAATAAAGTTGCGTGATCACTCATGCTACTCCTAAGTAGTATAAAATATATTTCGAAGAAAAAGGCAGGTCCTTGTCATGAATTCATAGGATGGTATTGATTACAGTAACACTTCAGTGAAGGAATGGTCCCCAACCATGCATGCAGTCCGTTTCCAAATCCCAGACGACACACATTTTAACTTCTCCTATTCTGCTAGCCAGATCAAGTCCATAAAATGTGGAAGGCTAGGCATGCATCTGGCGAATCCATCCCGTAAAAGCAACATCGCCTTTACTGGGACTTCAAAAGTAAGAAGCCCTTCGTTCCCCTCAGAAGGCAAGGGATTGAAAAAAGAAGTAGAAAAAATTAAAACAATCTTCAACTGAAATGAAAGAGAAAGTATATTTTTTCTGAGTGCTCAATAAAACCAACATTAAAAATAGTTTGTAAGGTTCTCTTCATCAGTCGAAGCATCCTTAATGATGAATTCTTCAAGTTTGATAAATTTGTCTACACGTCCATGAAATTCATATTCAGTAAGCATGATTAGCCACAAATAAAGATTGTCCGGATGCTAATGTTTGAAGATTCCCATCGAATTTTCCCAGTGATGCTGCTCCATTAGCCTGAAAAATTAATAGAATAACTCGTATTCTAGTGTATATCAACCACATAGTTAAATAACAAGCAAAGTTGACACACTTGAGAAGAGAACAGTATGCTAAGATTTCATGAATTTCTTCATCTCAGAAATAATGTAAATTTTATACAAATTCTAAAATACCAAAATGATCCTGAATAATTACTCCTACTGGACAAATTTAGTATACACTGCAGACTTACTAACGCAATGCATACAAAACTATCCATTCAGGAGGCTAGTTTATAAACAGATCAGATAATACGGAACTACATCTAAGGATTGAATTGAATCTTCAGCATAGAGTTTTGCAATAAAGTGAATCACTTTAAGTTCTTACACTTCGTGAATCACACATAAATGTAAAGGAGAAAAGAAATGCAAGTAAGATAATAATAAAAACAGAAGTATATGGGATATTGAATCCTTTCATAGAGAGTAATAAAGAATTTATGGGTCTGAGAGATAACAGTGAGTGAATGATTCTGTACGATGGAGGTATGTCACCAAAAATTTCGAGCCATGAATTAATGAGTCTCAAGAATCCAGCCACAAAGTCTACCTCTCCTTTCAACACACTGTAACACTTAGTATAGGTGATTTAATGTAAACATTTATGATCAAAGATAACTAGCCCCTTCGTATATTCCACACCAATGGCCTTGTTTCAAATCCACAAAGATGAAATGACCTACTGCTGAGTGCATGGTTTCCTTGATGCATTGCTGGATATCACGTCTACACAAGATATGAAGTAGGTTAGTAAAAGCCACACAAACCTTTCATATCTAAGATGCAATAATTACTCCAACATTGAGGGCATAAAAGAAAATTATAACATTTGTGAATTTATTGACTCAATATACAACCCTGCACTAAGATGAAAACTTCTGATCTCTTAATGCATTTTGATTGTAATTTTTCATTCTTTGTCAATGATTTTCACTGGTCTAGTCTAAAATTTATTTTACCCTAGTTATATTAGTTAAGAAACCCAAAAATTGCTAACATATGTTTTGAGATTATTTTGTTCAATTATGCTGTCACACCTTACTCTAGAATTTCAGCTACAATGCACTTTATTTAAACATAAATTTGAACATTTTAAGTGAGTGAATATCATATTTCATATTAATTTAATTCATACGAAGTGTGCTTGTGTGCTAGTATTAAGCAATACAAGGGTAGCATATAAAAGTACTTAGAAGTAGTACATAGTGTATTGCTTGGAGAAAAGGAATATTTTTCATGTGTTGTTTTGCAGAAAGTTGATTGATTTTTAGTTTGATAACAAACAGATTTCAGCTAGAAAATCACTCACTGAACAGCAGTTTCGTCTTATTTTGAAACAATTCTGAAGTACGTACCCATGAACCCACCAGGTATCAAAGTCAGGATCACCACTTTACGAAATGAGTCCATTGACCATTCAATGCAAAGTATTTGGACGCAGTAAACATAAGGTTTTCCCTTACTATTCCTTTTCTTCTCGAATGGTATCGCTGCTTCTTTCAGAAGTGAAGGTATCTTAACAGTAAGTCCTCAAGGATATAGTCGTTTCAGTTTACATGAGAAATCATTGAAATCTAGTGAATACTTCATGGATTTGAAAACGAATGGAAACAATGGGGAAAAGAAAAACTGTTGGTATAATTCAAAAAAATTCTGTGTTCACTTCTCTAAGCGAATGAAAGTTCTTTTCAGACTTCAAATTTTTGAAAGTACCTAAGTTTTAAATTCACAGTGTATTGATCCAATGGCTTAAACACTTAACTTTCAAACACTGGGTCTTTATTTGAATCCCATTCCAACTACTTCAACCAGGACAGCTAAAATGTAATATTACTCCTTACGCACACAATTATTTAGTAGATCGTGTTCTTATACATGAAGCACCACTATTTGGTAATTAAGAACAAACAAAAAGCTAACAGTCCCATAATACAGATTCAAAAACTGTGCAGGAATTTAGATTTTGGATTTTGTGGGGATTCTGATTAATTTCAATGATCAACACACTGGCCTTGCAACTGGAAGCTCCTGGATTCTGTACCTGAAGGAGTCGGGATTCCACACTGCTGAAGAATCATGAAGCTTTCTAGTTCAACTTAGTTTTCAGTGATGCTCTTACTAATGTTAGTTCGTAACGAAATCTTCACTGATTTTCAGTAGTTGTTATTTAGATACTTAAGCACATTTGAATGTTAAGGGAATACAAAGTGATAAAATATAACAGTTGCAGAACAGAATACCACAGGCAAGTCTGCAAAAAACGTCAGAAATGGGAGTTACTTTAACAGTTACAGTACCACGCACACACACACTAGAATCCACGCAATAAAACAGACAACCAGATTTAGATTGACTTTCAAATAGTGTATAGTTTTATAGAGACAGTTTTGACAGACACATCCATACACATGAGCAGACAAAGAGATCAAAGTAAATACTTCTAAAAATATACACCACAGACATGGTGCAGCGTCCCACAGACAAAATCTCATAACAAGATAGAAATATTTTTGTCACATAGTCAGAAATCCAACCTCCGCCACTCTGTGGTATCATTCAAAGATAAGCGTTTATGATTCAGTGATTATTGATCCCGAATCACTTAAATTCATCATAAGAAAATAGTTTGGATTCTAATTTTCTGATTCTAATTAGGTTCAAGTATGTATTATTGTGTGTGAATGAAACTTAAGATATTTCAAAAGCTGAAAAACAGTGTTAAAAGATAGTTATTTATGCTAATACGTGTCACTTTTTCCCACTCCTTCGTGTTCCACCTGAAACATAGGGGGATTCAAACTTTGACGTTTCAGGGAAGGTGATGCTTCTAGCCTTATGACCAACTTTCCTTCTTTTATAGGCTTATAAACATCTAGTAAACTAAGCGAGGTTTAAGAATCGAACGCGGCAACATGCGTTGTTGTTGGCCACTGTCATTGAATCACTGAGGCACATTGTAATTCAAAAACTAAAACAGTAGGAAAAATCTTCAAGATATTTAAGAAATATTCACTTGTGCTAATTTCATTAGTTCATTTTGAGCTGCAACAATATTACTACTTTTCCCATCCCACTTCTGTATCACTGACTGTTGTAATGCTCGACCAAAACTGAATGATAAGGTCCAAGGCTTACGTCCAGGGCATCTGTTAATTGCATTTAAATTCAGTGTAGCGTCTAATTCAGACATGCCACCAGATAAAAATACTATTCCTAAAATGGTTAAATAAATACAAATAAAGACTTAATCCTTTAATAAGTAAATATGCATATATTTCAATAATTTAGATTCAGCGAGAATAAGCATGACTTTATTCAAAGCTTTTATTTCAGTCTTTCAGAGTCATACTTTTGTTGGAGAAAGTCTGAATTTCATACTCTCCAACATTCCCAAGGATGCACTGATGATGATGAAGTCATTATTTTCGACTTCCACTGATACAGGATCACATATCACAGAGATAGCCAGCAAACCAGTTGTGCTGCATCTCCGCTCTGGGGAAAGGGCAGGTTAGAAAAGTTCAACCTCATAAATTGTACATTTTGACTTACGCTGCGGCAGTTCACAGCCAAAATTGAGGTCTTCGTTCAGAATTAATTCCAAACAAGCTGTGTATGACAGACCTCAAGCATATTTCCTATGGGCTCTGTGCAAACGCAATACAAATGCTCTTTCTACTTCACGTATCTCAATGAGTTCAGAATTTAGATGGCAGACACATTTTTTAATAGTGATCACGGAGCAGTAAAACACAAGACCACCAAACCACATCCCTTGATTTTTAACGTCTAACTTGGGAGGAAATCATAGTTTACTGGTAAAAAGAGGATGAGGTCTACATCTTTATATTTGAAGTAGGACAGAATAATATGACGCATAGAATTTCATTGAATTAAGTATTACAACAAATTCTGCAATAATGAAATTAGGATAATTAATCTGATACCATGAGTTTTAACAATTACAATGTAACTAAGTTTAACTTATGACCACGGTGGAATCATAAGTATTTACGGTTGAAGAGTCCAGAATAAGGTGGAAAAGCTGTCCAGTACTACCTGGATTATTATAGTTCTCTAAGTTATGTCATTTCGTGATAAAACTTGGAACCAATCACATCTTGACAAAGCAACATTTGCAAATTATGAACAATAGTTATACCTGAATAAGGTAGATTTAAATTCCATGTGAAGTGATAATGCATAATTTAAGTCATGGTGGGAAATTTCCGGATTACTGAAATGATTAATCCACCCGAATTCGTCTCAGTCACACTGTAAATGCAGTCTGGTAGTTCAGCCTGATGGATGATAACTGATGAATTGCTCCTTGGAAGCCACGTTACCAAGGCTGTATAAAATGTCAACTGACTGTGCTATCCAGATTGAGTATTCCACTTTACTAAAAATTCATCATTTGGATATATCCATATTCCCTAGATTGGCAACATTTCGTTCAAGGCTTTCATGGTAGACCTATATGACCACTTTAAAGGAGAAACCACTGGATTTTTCCACGCCGCTGGAGATGTTTCCCACCTACTGCACACGGACTAATGACGCTATTTAGCCCGGTAACTGATCGTCTAGACCACTGAGTCGTAGTTTCAAATTATTTTAATGTATATCCTTTACGTACTTTAATGTATTTACTGCTCACCAAAGTGCATATTTAAGATCGATTTGATAACCTAACCGTTAGATTAAGAAGTACACGTACCATGAGTCTTGGTTTATCACAGTTGACCTCAATCTAGATCACAGGTCATGTCATTAGATTTTTGTTGTGTGTACCAACCAGTAAAACAGCTTTAATATTTTAAACTTGTAATTTATTTGTCGTGTGAAATAACCACAAAAAATAGTTGTATTTTCTGGTCATACTGTCTTTTTTATCTTGTGGACTTAAAACGTTGACTTCCGATTTTGTAATCTGTGTCGTCTCAGTGTGATGTTAGTATTCAACAGTTAAGTCATACATTGTTGTGTGCTGAAGCACTGTGGGTATATAACAATATAAATTCGAACACTATAATACAATAAGTTAAATAATCTGGGAAAAAGCTTGTCCACTACAATATATTCACCTGCATGCAATCACACAATAGAGTGAGAGGGGATAAAACTACTAATAAGCACTATAGTTAAACTGAGAGAGAGGTTCACCACTGAATCTTTGTTCATGGAGTCAACTTCAGACACGTGCTATGGAAATGGCTCAATATAAAAACAGAAGGGAATAGGACTATCCAAAGTAGGTTACCAAGTAATGTGAATACACTGATATGATTATGAGGAATAAATTACTCTCGAAACGTTACACTGTAACACAGTGTGTTAGACAACAAAATAAACTTATTTCATGTGGAGTTATATTCTACCATAATGTGACATTTATATCAGTTAGAAAGAAAGAAAGCTGAAATCGAGTATTATTGGCCAATTCACTAACCTACTTTTAATTTCTGACTTCATTATCAAATAAGTTCATTTTAATCCAAACAACTAAACAAATAAACATTTTTGACCAGTGGACATAAATAACTGATCACTAATAATTCAAACAAAAGAAGTAAACATGTAATCACTTGCCTGGTACTGCAGGTGGAACAGTTCTTTGTAAGGCTTGTATAGTTGCAGCAGCATTCTGTTCGACACTGTATTTTTGACTGTGTAAATTACCAGCAGTTACCATATTTGTTTTCAGTAGTGTACCTTCTAAATATACATGATGTTCAGCTAATTTTCTGTAAGTACACGATAATAATTCTTCAGTCACTCGCATACAAGTATATAAGTCATGATTGCCATCTTGTAATACTTCTGGTTCAACTATAGGCACAAGACTATTCTAAAATATAAAATTGTATTAGACTTTTAATTGTGATACAATATTATTATTTAAATATTACTTTTATGAGTAAAAATTTACTGTTCATAATCACACTGAAGTGAATTAACTACAATTTCAAGAAAATAAATTTTGAATAAGTCTAGGACGCAGGTAAATGTTACTCCTGGTCTTCTGGTAGACGTAAACAAGGTGTCTCATACATCTCTGCATATTGTACCTGTATGTATTTAACTAATGAAGTAAAAAAGGAATCTTTTTTACAATCATCATTATTCTCCGCTCAACCTTGTCACTGTAGAGTCGTGTTTAGTAGGTGTAACGTATGGCACACTGGAAGTTATGTCCTATTTTACCAAGTGGTGATTTCTGCTGAAGCCAAGTTATACATACTCAGGAGGAATAAAGATTGTAGAATTTTCCAAGGAGTCAATCAGCAAGAATCTATGGACCCATTTTTCAAGTACATAATTAGTCATTAACAAGACCTATTTACACTCCTGAAGAGAATTAAGCTACATAGTGTTTCAAGGTGTTAAAGTTTCAGTAACGCCAGTGTTGTTCTTACCAGATGGGGTTGCTAGCCCCCAGCTAATCTTCTCTCTTTTCACGGACAACTACCATCCAGGTGAGATATAGAAGAATTTTATCACACAGAGAATTTTAAACATTCCATATTAGTTTGTATATTAGATGTATCACATAGTGAAACAGTATTATTTACTAAATGACGTTTCGAACAAAATTTATTGTTCATAATCATATCAATTATAATCACACGACTTCGAAACTTGAGTTTTATAGTTTTCTTTGTCCTCTCCTATTTGTCGTAGGGGTAGTAGAATTTTCCAGATATCTGGGATAGGTGTTGAATCATTCCTGTTACATGTATTCGCAGCTGATTCGATAAAAAAAGCTTCTGTGATACATCTAATATACAAACTAATATGGAATTACTTACTACCACAGTGCCCAAGTTTTATGCATATATTCGAATTTAAAACATCTTTTTCAGAACTGAACTGTTAAATGCTTTATCAGTGTTTTCAATCACAAAGATTCCACATAAGCTTTTTGATGGGTGTTAGCGGATACTTAACGGAAACTTCGATGGTCTCCATCCATCAACACACTTTAATCCTAAGTTTCGAATCATATTTCACCACAGTGTCATGTAACTTAGCTTTGTTATCTTTTTGCATAGTTGACAGATGAATTAAATTCAAAACTTTTAGGACAAGGGTGTTGCGTTGATTTGCATCTTTTGATCAACTCGTAATATTCAGTTTGTAAAATAGATCACTGTTTTTATGTTCTTGTCTACAGAATTTTTAATTAGATTGGTAATTGCATAGAGGATTTCATAATGAGCTGACATCATTTAAAGAACCACTGGAAAACCTAAGAGTACTGGACAGCTGTTTCATCCCAGTTTGGGACTCTTCATCAGTGCGCACCACCGGGGTTGGAATCCAGGACTTTCTGGTTACAAGGCGAGCTCGTAGACCATTGAGCCACTGGGACCCGATCCAATGGTCCTTGAATTCTAACTTCCGCCAATTCACGATATAGCGCGACCATTTCGCAATGTCTTCTCCGATGAGTTACTGCCTCATCTTCAACCTGCTGTACCCTACTGGTCACTTGTAACCTCCATGCAATCAAACAAAAATCCCTACAAAACCGATACTTGAAGATCGGTAATTATCAAAACTGAAGGAAAATATGGCCCGAAACAGAATACTAAATATCACATTTCCAAGGAGCTAGGGAGAATGCAACACTGAAATAAAACATAAGCGATGCACGATTCGTACTATCTACCAATTAATTATGAAACATATTCGTCATTTCTGCACCTTAATGCTGACTTCTGGTCTGTTAAATACTAGTACACCAAGAATCAGGCATACTAATCAGTGCGGAAACATTGACAAAAGTATATCTCTATAGGTTATTACATTTCACAAGAGGCACAATAAACAAATGTGAATTTTTGAAACCAAAGAGCGCTGGACAGCCTTCTCGCAGTAGTTTGGGACTCTTGAGAAATACATGCCGAAAAACCTTCCTTTTATGTATCGAATTCAGTTGTCGATGATTAAACCACTGGTTACCAGTGTGGCTATGTCACAAAGAGATGGAAGTTAGAATGTACTGGTAATTGGATTATGACTCAGTGGCTGAATGGTCAACAGGATTACCTCGCCCTCTGATAGTCTTCAGTTTAATTTTGATGATATCACGGGGTTGCATGTCGGTTCGTGTCAAAATCTATATTTAAAATTAATATAAATACTTATAAAATCAAAAATTCAAATTAGAATATGACAGAAGAGATAAGAACTAAACGGATATCACTGAAAGTGTCCGTAATTTCGAAGAAGATATTGTGTGAACATACACACACACATTTTGTCACCGAATTTTAGATGCATTGGAAAAAGTTTCGGAGATGTGGATCTTAACCTCTTGGTACTTCTACTAAATAACTTTACATTTCTACTAATTGTTAATGAAATCCTAAAATGTATTTATACTATCACAAAGTATACTGTTGTTAGTATGTCAAAAGAACGATATATGAATTGATCAGAAGTGAGTTTCAAGAAAATCATTGAGAACCTCATTTCTGTAACAGTACTAACCCTAAAAATATCGAACTACAAGGTTGTTCTGTCTTCGCTATTCTTAAAGATTATATATATATATAATTATTTCCTTAGGTTCCAAGTGGAGCACACCTCCATTTCATTCTGTTCACTGAATTCCTGTCTGTCTGGCTATGTGTTTGACCACAACCTTTTATCTTGTCCTCACACGATCCTCTCCATGTCACTGTCGGGTCAACGCTGAACTTGTCGTTTCTCATTCAAGTTTCACTAGAGGGTATATCTAGCGATTGATGTCATTCAACGGTATCCTCACTTCATGTCCATTTCACCTCCATTTCCTTATGCAGATTTTATGAGTGACAGTTTCTTGGTTGGTTTGCTGCCGTTCAGAGTTCCTTGTTGCTTATACTTTTCGGATGGTCATCTGATCTTCAGTATGAAGCGAATGTGGCTGTTGATTAATTGGTCTAGAAGAAAGTTATAAATTCAGTGACCAAAAGTTCCACTGAGGCTATGTGTTATTCATTTTGATGACAGTAACTCCGAAAACAAATGATTACACAGTTTGACTTCTTTTTAAGTAAATCCACTGGTTGATTAAATGTGTAATCATTTTTACTGAAAACTAAGAAGATATGGAAATTAACAGTTGACATTATAATCTGTTGAAACTATTTATATCTCCCACTATTTGATTTATAATTGAACCTAAATACTCCATACCTTAAATCAAATAAATTTACTCAGTTCGAGGTGAAATTTCACCACAGTTTCCTTTGAAAACAGAAATAATCCATATCACAATATATGGTTTGCTTGATGCTATGAATGGCAGTCGAGAAACCAAGCATAGACGAATGACGCTACATACTACAAACTGATTGACGCCAGGAGTTAGACACCACCCAAATCAATCAGTATAGCTATAGCTTAAATTTCAAACTTTATACGTTCAGTTGATCTAATTGTGGCGAAACCAGAAATTACATAAAATGTAAAATGTTATGTGTGGTTGGTTGTATAATTTGCAAAAAACAAAGGAATAAACATTGATCAAAACACATTTTAAACAAACTAATTTAGGAATTTATCCCTTCTTAATAAGAAACTTTTTCTGCCAATCTCAGTATTTATTTAATTATTCTTCATTTTATTTTGATATGAAATACTGTCTATACATTTAAAGACCTTAATTTTTCAATCTGAAATGAAAAATGTCTCATTTTAATTGAATCTTTATAAATACAGTTTGAGTTCGCCAGTTTTATTATTATAACAGACATGTGACTGGTGGTGTTCCTACAGAGACTAGAACCCAGCACTCACCGTTTTAAAGGCCAAAGTGTTATTCACTAGACCACTAGGCTACAATTGACCCCTTCTGCAAAACAGTTATCGACTGTTATTTGTTGAACGGATTTTAAATTTCGTACAAGTTGACTTTTTTTGAACAGAAATGCTGAGTCTCTGTTATCATATGTCCCAATGAAAAACGCTTCTGGCGTTTGAAACGATGGATGCTGGGTTTCCAGTCTCCGTGAGAATGTGAATACATCCAGCTAACCACTCCCAAATACGATGAAATGTCTACCATGGATTATACTGCTAGACAAAATCGACCGAAATAACATCGTGTGTATCGCTGATGCATCCATACTAGGAGCCGACAAGTCAGTATAATCAGCCAATGGGAGAATCAGAATAACTTTGAAAAGGTGCTTTCAGCTTTTAATGTATTTTCCATTTGTTGATAACATTCTTATCAACCTATTAAACTAACTCAGTTTAAACGAAGAGATAAAATACTTTTGTCTAAAGTACACACATAATAACTATTTTAAATATGTTGACATTAATGTTTCCAGTACTATTTAAGTGTCTGTGTATACATATATATGTATACATAAAATTCCTATTCTTTTCTCTGAAGATGTGAAATATTTCTTATAATAAGTGGATATAAGAAGGTTAACACTTTTTGTCGAAGTATTATCCCACTTATCGACATTCTTATATATATATATATATCATCAAAAATGAATGTAAAACGACAAGATTTTAGAATTCGAGGCAAGAAGTGTTTGATTCGAATTCCACTGAGAATAACAACACTGACTAAGATTTAGGTACAACAATTTGACGATTTCAGACAGGATGAAACTCATCTGTCTAATTCAGATACTTTTTCATTCCTTTTCGTACCCAGTGGAATATAAGTCTTCAGCCTTGAGTTTTGAATTCTCAGTAGCAATGGTGTTTTACTTATACTTTGTGGGGTTACTAGCATCACACCCAACCTTCCCTCTTTATCGGACTTACTAATGACTAAGTGTGGTTTGAGAGTTCACCAGGCGGGGACCAAACCCCGGATCATGTGCGTGTCTG